CTCAGCAGTGAAGAGCCATGTGACAAAAAAGAATAAAAACCACATAACTACCTAGCTCTGAATTGGAACATTTATCAACAAATGTTATAGATGAGAAGTCAGTATAAGGTTTCTTTTAATTTTTTTTTCTTTATTTTTATTTTTTTTTTTAGAGACAGGGTTTTACTATGTTGGGGTCTCCACCTCTTGACTTCGTGATCTACCCACCTCGGCCTCCCAGAGTGCTGGGATTACAGGTGTGAGCCACCGCGCCCGGCCCAGTACGAGTTTAAAGTGTCTCCATAAACCTAAGATAAAATTGATCTAGTGAACCAGAATGTAGCTTGAAATGGGCTTAGGTACATCACTCCAAATTTTGAAAAAACAGAGAAATTTTATCACTAATATCATGGTGAACACGGGCATGATCAAAAGTCTGGATATATAATAATTTCTAAAGAGAAAAATAAGCAGTATCTACAAAGTCCAAACCAAATTAATTTTGCAAAATTCAAAATTGGATTAAAAAAAGTTTGTGAAGTTAAGAAAGGAAAAGTGGATAAATGAAATGCTAGCTAGAAGACTGACCATGAACAAGTCCAACCAAATGAACTGCAGTGGCTATTTTAATAGGTTAGTAATAGCAATGTAGTATTCTTCACTGTAGGTCAGAATCTTGTAGGCACACAAAATCTTTCATAGTAACCCCCAAAAATGTCATATGGGCCTAACAATGATAGAATTAGTAGTTACTCGACAACCATAATGTGTGCTGATTAATGGACTGGCGTTCATACAGTCTAGTTGACGTGCACAATTCAGGGTAATTTACTGCCAATTTAATACTTTTATCGACAAGGTGAATGAAGACAGTAGGTATGCCTACCAAATGTAAAGATCAAATAAATCAGAAAGGATAATATTAAATGTCTAAACAAAAACAAAAGGGGCTGGGCGTGGTGGCTCACGCCCGTAATCCCAGCACTTTGGGAGGCCAAGGCGGGAGGATCATGAGGTCAAGAGATCGAGACCATCCTGGCCAACATGGTGAAACCCCGTCTCTACTAAAAACACAAAAATTAGCCGGGCATGGTGGCACATGCCTGTGGTCCCAGCTACTTGGAAGGCTGAGGGGGAAGAACTGCTTGAACCCAGGAGGTGGTGGAGGTTGCAGTGAGCCGAGATTGCACCACTGCACTCCAGCCTGGCGACACAGCAAGACTCTGTCTCAAAAACAAAAAAGGAAATTTAAAAGCCCATATTTAATCTAAGCACATCTAAAAAAATAAAAATAAATAAAATAAAAGCCTTATATTTAAGCTTAAAAATATCCACCACACAAAAACAAGGTTAGGAAGACTCAGTATAACATCCTATGTATAAAATATACAGGAGAGAAGTTGATACTTCGGGCTCATATATTAAGCATAAGTAACAGAGGTTAAGACTGTCAATGAAGTATTTGGTTTAAAAAAACCAGCATTTGGCTCATACCCACCACACTCTCCATCTGGTCAAATATCATCTAAAATGCTGGGTACAACTCTGGGAACCATGTATAATGACAATGAGCACTTTAGAGTTAATTTAAAAAATAACCATGATTGATCAGAGAATTACATTATCTAAGGAATGATAAAACAAACTGGGATTATTTACTCTGAAGAAGAGAAGGGAATGCTCACAGTATATGGCAGGGAGAAAGGATCAGCAGTGACACTACAGTAGTCTTCAAATATGTGAAGAGGCCATTCATGTGAAAAGATTATACTTGGAAAAAGCAAAATACAGTGGGAACAGCACAGGCTATGATATATAAAGACCTGGATTCAAATCCTGATGCTATCATTTACTGTGTGTTATTTGATGCTCGGAGAGAGATTAGTGTTCTTACCTAGAAAATAATACCCATCTCATAAATGTATAAAATTAGAGGCAAAAAATACTTACAAGCTGCGTGGCACAGACTGACACACTGTGATACAGAATGATGTTAGTTCTCGTCCCTAGACTTTGCTGAGTTATTCTAGAACAGTGTTTTTCAAAGTGAGAATTGCAACTTGTTAATGGGTTACAAAATCAGCTTAGCTGGGTAATAACCAGGATTTTTTTCTAATGAAACAGAACAGAATGGAAAACATCAAAGCATATCACTTGTAAGAGTAATCATACTTTTGTGAAACTTTTGCTTCAGTTATTCATATACATGTAAATTCCAGATGATGAGTTAAATTTTATTTCTTATCATGAAGCTGAGTCCAAAAAAACAAAAGTGTGAAAGTGACTGCTGTAGAGCACTGTTTTCTATGTGTGTTCTGTAAGATACTAGCTCCTTGGGAGCTCATTAAGTTTACGACCAAACCATACTCTCTAGAGATTTACTATGTTCAAAACACACTAACATCTCCAAGAGCCTAGCATTAAAGAAAACTATTTTTGTTGAACCCAGTTTTTCTTGCATTTATTCAACCCCCGGAACCCATCCACTTTTTTTCTACATGGCACTTATGGACATCTTCAGAACTAGCACTTTGTGGCACACACACTTGGGAGGAATTCTACATCCAAGGAATTTCATTCCTCTAGATCAAAAAGAAAGTGCAACAACTAGAAGTTACAGAAGGTAGATTTTTAGCTTGCTAAGAAAAAAATCTACTTTGAATCTTCCTGCCACTGACAACCTCCCCCTACAACTTTTACCCTAAACACATACCCCAGTGCATTTTAAATGATTTATCCAACTTTCAGTTCACATAAATCTCAGGAAAAATATATGACATCTATAATATCAAGATATGAAACTAGGATCAAAACAGTAAGCAGGAATCATCTAGTCAAAAGAAACTCCAGGTATAGTATTTAAGAAAGACTTTCTTTACCTTAACAAAGCTCATGTTCAGGAACCAAAGCAGCCAAAGATTTAATCGGCTTCTCCAAGTAGACTCCATGTGTTCTAATAATACATAATCTAAAATGGGCTGATGAGTGCAGCTAATCCTCATTATTATGAGCATCATTATTATCATCACTTGCAAGAGCCATGTGACAATATTTACATAATTCTGGGTTCTTTTCAAGTGCATACATACCCAGGATTCCTCTGGGAGAATGCAATTTCACATTTATATCAAAAACTGTCACTACCATAGTCAGCTCTAATAACATTTGATATCACGTGGTAATAAAATAAAGGCTTGTCATTATATACTTAAGAATACCTCTGTTACTCAAATCTTCTAACTGGGAGTTACAAATACCTCCGACTGTGCCCTTGTAGCTGTCAGAGCATAAAATGCCCTTCCCGCTCTTTCGTCACTTACAGACTCCAAAGTCACCTCCTTAAGTCTGGTCCAACTACTTTGGACTACTATTTTCTTCCCAGTTACAGAGCACCGTCAGTACTTTTTGTTTTATCACTCTTTCCAGTTTATTAACTGCACAAAATTACAACCTCCCCCTACAACTTTTACCCTAAACACATACCCCAGTGCATTTTAAATGATTTATCCAACTTTCAGTTCACACAAATCTCAGGAAGAATATATGACATCTATAATATCAAGATATGAAGCTAGGATCAAAACAGTAAGCAGGAGTCAAACATGAGCTTTGTTAAGGTAAAGAAAGCAAGTCTTTCTTAGGTGGTAATTCACTGTACACTTTCCAGTTTACTTAACTGCACAAAACTTAGTTCTCAATAAACTATAATTGCCTTATGAACACGTATCAACACAATCTTCAGCATCTCCTACATCATCATGTAAAAGCTCACAAAATATTTCTTGATTTAAATAACTAGGCTTGAAAACAAATACTAGTTTTAGAGTTTACTATGTGCCAGATCCAGTGCTAAATGCCTACATGGATTATCTTACTAAATTTTCATTAACTCTATAGAGGTAAGTGCTATTATTTTCTCCATCAAATAGAAGAACAAAGTGAGGCTCAGAGTGCTCAAGGTCATAAAGTTAGTAAGTGGCAAAACCAGGGCCTGAATCCAGGAAAGCTCTTAAATAACCTCAGAAGACTGCAAAGTTCCAACCCTGAAATACCAGAGTATTTCACTAAATCAGAAGTTTTAATTTTAACAGAGCAGAGACATTTTAACTAAAAGTTAAAACTTAAGAATTAAGAGAAGGAATTTCCCACAGACATCTTTATAATAAAATGAGGGGGAAAGCCTCCCATGTCCTTTCTATTTACGAAAGTGATTATTAAGGTGTGGATCACAATTTCATAAAGAAGTAGCTTATGACAATACAGCTTTGGTTTAGAGTTTAAAATAGGACTCTTTTTCTCTGCCCCTAGGAGGACGTGGAAATGAAAGATGGATGTGATAACTCAATACAGACCTATGCAAAACGCCAGACTCAATTCTTGTTTTAGAAAATAAGAGCCAGGGCTCTTGTTCCACCCTTGACTTTTCACACAAAGCAGCACCATCCTCTGCCCTCTTCACACAAAGCAAGCTTTACCCCACTACCCAAAGCGGGGGTGCTGATCCACACGGTCTCCCCATACCCGACAGAAATGGGTCCCACACACTAACCACTGCATAGACGTAGACGACTTCGTACTGCCCCCGACCCCCAGCACCTGGTGATACCTCATCAAGCAGACCCCTCCCCTACATCCAAAATGTCCAGGGCCACCATCCGAAAGCCAGTATCTTACACAAAGCAGGATCCCTGCCTACAAAGCAGTTTCCCAATTCCGACTCCTCCCCAGGCGAACAGCCCTTCTCAACCTGCGCCAACCGACAGACCCCAATAGGATCCAGCACCCAGAGAGTCCACAAGCCAAAGAACGAGCTAAAACCCTGTTACTTGCGCACGCCTCGAACCCCCAACTCCAGCTGACCTTCCCTCTGCCAAAGCAAAAAAACCGTGAGTCCCCCACCACAGAGCGAACCTGGTTACACAAAGCGAGGCGCAGGACCAGAGGGACCCTCAGAGGACGCTCTCCGCCCCCGGGCCCGTCTCCGCCCAGCTCCGGCCCCGCGCCCCGCGCCCCGCGCTCACCAGCTCTCCTCCTCCTCCTCCCAGCCTGACAAACGCTCCAGCTCGTCGGGCCGCAGCGGCTCCACCTCGTCCAGCAAGCTGCCCTCGCCCGCCGCGAACAAGGAGGTGGCGTCCCGCAGCTCTTCGCTACTCGTCCGCCTCGGGCCCGACCCGGCCCCGCCGCCCGACTTGGCGCTGAGGCCCAAGGGAAAGCCCCGAGGAGACGCCGCTCCAGAGGAGGGAGTGGAGGCGCCGGCTCGAACCGGGCTGCCAGGCCCGATAGAGCCGGCACCCTGCACGGCCCCCGAGCGGCTTCTCAGCTGTTCGTTCTGTTTCTCCAGCTTCTTCACCAGCTCCTGCAGCTTCCGCACCTCCTGGTCCGCGTTCACGTTGGAGTTAACGTCCTCCATCCCGGCCCCGCCGCCTCAGCCGCCCGCTCGCTCTCGCAGAGACAGGGAAAGAGCCGGAGGAAAGAGGCGTCGCCGCCGCTCACTCTAGCCGAGGCGCCGGCATATAGCAGGACCAGGCCCCACCGCCAGGGTACCCCCAGCTCGGGTTCCAAAGCGCCGCTGGCCCCAGCCAAGCTGCCTCATCTGCGCCGGCTCCGGGATTGGGGGAGGCGGCGCCAATATCCGGCCTCTGCCGCCATCTTCCCTCCGTCCCTCCGCCCCCCCGCAGTCCGGCCCAGTCAGTGACCTCAGAGCGTCGGGGGTGGACGCGACCGCCCGCGATCGCTGAGAGGACCCGGCGCCGGCTCGCGGCGGGGCGGGGCCACGGACGGGGCCTATGGGGCGGGGCGGGCCCGTGACGGGGCGGGGTTTAGGCCGGAAGGGGCGTGCCGGCGGATGTGGGACGCGGCCGGGCTGGCTAGGGAGGGTCTCTGCAGGCCTGTAGGCGAACCGAAGGCTCGGCGCGGGCGGGGCTGAGGTGGCGCACACGGTCCTCGATCAGCCCCGCCTATTGGTCTCGGCGTTTCGGACCGTTCCGGGCGGGATATCAGTGGGCGCTCAGCCCAGCCGTAGAGAGACGATTTACTTTGTTCAGCAACTATCTAATCGATGCCTGTTTTTAATTGGAAATTGTCTCGGCTGACGGGAGCCTGAGAGACTGCCTGTGTCCTGTTTCTTTTCCTGAAAATAAGAAACCCCAGTTTCAGACAGTTAAGAGAGGTCCAAGGTCAAATAATCATAATTTCTTGAGTGCTTCCTACTGGCCAGACACCGTGCTAAGCACTTTTAAAGGCATTATCTCATCCGTTTAAACACAGTTTTCCCGACTTGAAGTTTACAGCATACTGGCGCAGAATTGGGCGATAGAAACCACTTATTTACTGCCTTTCTCCGTTTATTGACTCACAGGCTGCTCTTTGGATCAAGTGTGTCTTGACTTTTTAAAAAGTTGTTATAATCCCAGCACTTTGGGAGGCTGAGGCGGGTGGATCACGAGGTCAACGGATCAAGACCATCCTGGTCAACAAGGTGAAACACCGTCTCTACTAAAAATACAAAAATTAGCTGAGCATGGTTGCGCGCGCCTGTAGTCCCAGCTACTCGGGAGGCTGAGGCAGAATTGCTTGAACCCAGGAGGCGGAGGTTGCAGTGAGCTGAGATCGTGCATTGCACTCCAGCCTGGGTAACAACAGCGAAACTCCGTCTCCAAACAAACAAACAAAAGTTGTGTATGAAAAGCACTTAAGCACGGTGACAGATACTGAAGAATACAGAAAATAGTATGAATGTGAAGTCTGCCTTTATAATGTGGCAGCAAACCCAAATAAAACTTAAATGCTTTGTTTTGATCACATTCGTTGGTCTTCAGATTTCGGTTGTGAACTGCTTTGGCTTGTGTTTGCAGCTTTTCTTCAGTTGCCATCTCCATCCTTAGCTTAATAACAATGATCCAGTCCTATTACACCTGGGTGTGGACGCAAGCCATGACTGACCTGCCTCTACCCTTTAGTTCTTCTAGTGTCATATTTTCCTAGCGAGGAATATCCTGCCTGCCATAGCTGATTCCTTATCTTAAAACCCATACTCACTCATTCGGGAAAGCTATTCCCTACAATTCCACAAAAATCTAATTATTCTAGCGTATTCTAGCACTACCTGATCAATAGTTCTCAACAGGTGTTTGCACTTTTTTTAAATTGCATTTTTTCTACGAATTACTTTTTGTTTGTTTTTGTCAGTTTACTTGATTTGAGGAGACTGTTCATTTTTTCTTACCATGCCTAGTACACTGATACAGTGGACACTCAATACTTGGTTTGTTGAAAGTTAAGTAGACTGAAAGTTCTACTAAAACCAAGTAGCTATTTATTCATAGCAAAAAACTTACCGTGTTAAAAGTTTGCTGGCTAACTATAAGTCGAGTATTTTTCTAGCTATACAGGCCTAGTCAAAGAATGTGATTGTTTGCTAGCATAATTGTCAAGTAATATTTATTATCTATGTAGTGAACATCTAAATATCATTGCTGTTTCTGACCAGTCTATGACCTTTTCTGCCGGAGGATTAAAAATCATGACTACTTCATGTATAGCAGTTTTCACTTGCATTCAATGCTTTGTAAAATAGATTCCAACTAGTCAGTTTCTCTAATGGGAACGCTTTAAATATACTCCTTGAAAAGAATAGTTCACTGGACATTATGAAGTGAGCACTAACGTTTGTGGGGAAAGAAAAGCTTGTTGTAGTGTGAAACAATGAATTAAGAATCAGAAAGCCTGATGTGAGGTGCTAGCTCTAGCATAAATGCACTTGACCTTCATCACTGGTCTCTTAATCTCTGGTCCTTAATTTACTTTGGGATTTGTAAGTTGTAGATCTCCAATTATCTCTTCCAGGACCAAAAAGTAAAGGATTCTGTTGCGTCCTCATGGTTGCAAAACATAAGAGTAAATATATTTAGATATGTAGAGAAGTTCATAGTAGATAGATATACTTGGATTTTTAAATTCTATTGCCTTACTCAATGTCTTCCCTTTTTCATTCAATAGATATTGAGTATCGACTATGTGGCAGAATCAATCTAGGTATTTGGATGTTTAATAGGCCTCTTGAGTATAAGACAACTTTCAGTTCATACATACACGTACACACTGCACAATATGTACACACCCTTAAATCTGCTTGTCTTATAGTCATCACCGTTCCAATAAATGACAGCTCTTTTCTTCTAGATACTCAAACCAAAAACCTTAGGATAATCCCTACTCCTCGCTTTCTTTCACCCAGAAGATCCAATCTTTAAGCAGGTCATGCTGGCTCTACATTCAAAATATGTCTGATTACTTCCCAGCACCATCCGCTGCTCTAATTCAAGTTGCCATCTTCTCTTGTCTAGATTACAGTGGTACTCTTTTTTGTTTTTTGTTTGTTTACAGTGGTACTCTTTTAATGAGTTATTCCACTTTGCTGCTTACAGTCTCTTGTCTGCACGGCAACCAGATGATCCTTTGTGTAAGTCACATCATGTTATTCTCCTGCTCAGAATCCTCAGAAGTAACTGACTTCCCATCGTACTTCAAAGTCCTTTCCCTGGCCTATAAGGCTCTAGATATCTGGCAACTTCTGCCAAGTATCTCATTAACTACCACCCTTCCCCCCTCACTCTGTCGCACTGGCCTTTCTGATGGTCTTCAAAGAAGCCAAGCATGTTTCTACTTCAGGAATTTTACACTTGCTTTTCCATCTGTCTAGGATCTAGTCTTCCTTCATGTTGTTATGTGACTGACTCCCTCCATTCAGGTCTCTGCTCAAATAGCACCTAAATTCACTATCCTCATTATGACAATTCTCCATAAAATAGCATCTATCATTCCCCATCCTCTTAATCCCGTTTCATTTTTCCTCAGACACATCTTCCTTTCTTTCTTTACTGCCTGTCTCTCCCCCGTGGAATGTGAACTGCATGGGAACAGAGTTCACTATTGTATCTCCAGTGCCTAGTACATGGTAAGTGCTCAACACATGTTTTTTGAATGAGTGAATGGATTTAGGCTAAGTGAAGCCTCCTGCTTATGTCTCAAATCACTGAAGTGGAAATTTGTAATTGTTTTGAATGGTTGACTTTTAAAATTATATTTTCTCCTTCCAGAAGAGCAACATGTCATACTGTATATGTCATCCTCAAAACTAGGTCACTCTCCACCTCCTGAGAGCCAACAGCCCTTAAGAATTGTTGAGGAGAGAGTTTTAAGTTCTCGCGGAGAAGCATAAGGATAAGAATATTTCCTTTCTATCCTTTACCTTGCCAGGATCTTCCTCTTTCAGGTTAGCTGTGATATCCTGTCTTCTCTGGTGACTCAGAAGTGTTAGAGCATGTTTTTTTTAAAAAGTCACTCTAAAAGTGACTTTTATATAGATAACAAGGAGCAGAGCTAGTAGGTGTCTGAAGTATGCATCACAATTAGCCCAACTAGCTTTTCAGGTGTTGTGTTTTATGATAAGCTTGCTTTGTTGCTGGAAGGAGAACTTGCTTCTTTTCTAAGCAGGTGTGGCCCATTTTCGTAACTTGCTCCTACACGCATTTTAGCTCTTAGTGAAACTCATGACAAAGTGGAAAATATTACAAACCACTAAAAGTACTTGGAATGAAAAACTGTTACCCAATGGCTTATAGATATTTACATCCTAAAATCCTAAATCAAGGGGTGGTGTGTGTGTGTGTGTGTGTGTGTGTGTGTGTGTCTATATAAGCACGTGCTAAAAAGTAGTTTAGAAATTACTAGACACAGAAATATTTGCATTTCCTTAGAAAATTCTCAGATTATTTGACAAAACCTTTGCTATCCAATCCATTCATTTTTTAACATAACAATCATTTCACTAAACAGTCCATCCATTTAATCTTCAGAGGTACACATGGTCAGTTATGTTCTACTTACCTTCTTTCATCTATTCCTCACCAGCATCCCTCCTCCAGATGTGCCTCCCTTTGGTCTATGAAGTGGCCTCTTCACTGTCTTGGTACAATGCAATTTTACAAAGGAATCCCAGGAACCTTAAAGGTTAGGTATATAAGAAATTTTGAATTGAAAGCTTGGTGGCAAAATGAAGGGGGACTTTTTTAGGGAGATTCCTGTCTAGAGGGTGGTTCCCTATCACACTGTTGGGGGCATATATTACATAGATGTAGGAGTGACTTATATAAAGTTCGTGATCAGGTTCTTGAACTGTTAGGAAGCTGTCATCTTACACAAAAGGAAACAATACCTTGTCTTTCACCCTTTTTCTGGCAGCAGATGGGAAAATAAGATCTTAAATAACATTTTTTTTTTTTCTTTAAGTGGTATATCAGTCAGACAGTGAAGTTGGAAGAGTGGACTATGAACCGCTTCTGAATCTGTTTGGTATTCTAGGGAAACTACTATTCAAAGATGGAAGAAAACTTACTAGGAATACTCTATA